ACTACTTGTCTTTTATATGATATATTTGTAAAGTCGATTAAACATGAGTAACCCGACCTTCTTGGGAAACTCTACGAAGGCATCCTCTTCTGATGGCATATTCTATGGCTTTTCTCGCTCGAGACGCTGATTTGACAAATGGCACACTACCACTTGTCTAATTACTTGAGAAAGTAATTGTTTCTAATAAGGTATTCTCTTCAGGTGGCTCTATCGACTTATCGCTCGTGACGTGGATTTGGAAGTGGTGGCTTCCTCTGATACTTCTATTTTATAAGGTATATTTGTAAAGTCGATTAAACATGAGTAACCCGATCTTCTTGGGAAACTCTACGAAGATATCCTCTTATGGTGGCATCATATATGACTTTTGTCGCTCGAGATACTGATTTAACAAATGACACACCGCCACTCGTCTAATCGCCCGGAAAACTAATTGTTTCTTAGAAGACATTCTCTTCAGGTGGGCCTATCGACTTATCGCTCGTGACGTGGATCTGGCAGTGGTGGACATGACTTCTGAATTCTATTTTTATACCTGATCCACTCTCCATCAAGCCCACGATGTTTCTAAGAAGGCATCCTCTTCTGAAAACATCCTCTACGTGAGGCATCAAACCCACAAATGACACACATCCGCTCGTTCCCTAAACCTTATTGTGTTTTTTCATTGCACTACTTTTGTTTCGAAGAATTTTCAATACAATTATTTCACCGCTTAAAATGTCTCGTATGTGCCGATACTAGCAATGTCTATCAAGTCATTTTAGCTTGTTTTGTATGCACAAAACTAAGCATTAGATCCATTTTAAAAGTGATTTTGTATCTTCTTATTCTTGCACAAAACAAACTTTGGTACCATTTTCAACGTAATTTCTATTTCGCCTACAATATATCGCATGTCTTTATATTAGCCTCAGATGAATGATAAATTCCAATACTATGCAAAGAATCTTATAAATTAAAAAAACCGGAGATTAAATACCCGAACATGCCCCCCGAACATGCCTATAAGAACTTGTGGATTGTTGAAGAAAATAAATAACTCGTTTTTTGGAAATGCGAGGTACTTTGAATACTTATCGCGATAAATTTCTAGGGAGGGTTAAATATCTCATGGACCTAACGTTATGGGAAACACGATGTACTAAATAATCATATTAAATTATATAATCTGAAAAAAGTGTACAATACATCGCATCCTACAAAATGTGAGACACGTTCTCGCGTTGGATAGGACACAATATATTCTTACTTGTGCAGCTTGGGGGGCATTTTTCTAACAAATCTTCTATGGGGTTATTGTTAAAAAATTAATTTGGTTTTTAATATAATATTGCCTCAATGAACGATCAAATGAGAAAAATATTTTATAGAAGTAGAAAAAACATATCACAAAGATATAATTATTCTTATTAAAAATTTAAAAAAATAAAGGAAAAAATTGTCAGTGGACAACCAACATCAAAACTGATGTCACGTCGACTAAATAAAAAATGATACAAACTCTAAAGAAAAAAGAATGAGATAAATAAAAAATGATACAAACTCTAAAGAAAAAAGAATGAGATAAAATAGCGGCAAGGGTTTTACCCTTTCAAAATCTTTAACATTAGTATTAAGGTTTTCAAATTATTACAACAACAATAATAATATCAATAAGATTAAAATTTAATTTATTATGGTTTACCATATAGAATGCATGCATTAATTAGTGGTTAGTCGAGTTTCTTTCCAGGAATGTATGTCGGCTTGTAACAAACTTTGAATCTCAGCCAGTGGATTGGGAAAATTCGTCAAGCCTGCTAAAGTCGAGTGGTTGGTTTTGGCTATAGCATCGGCTACACCATTCGCTTCTCGGCAGATATGGGTTATCTTGATGCTCCAGTTTCGTTGGATAAGTTCACGAGTTCGTCAGAAAATAGTCGGTTCGTACCTTCAGGGAGAGTTCAGGATTTTGACAGCTTTAGAGTTATTCGTTTCAACCTCAATAGGACGGACACCTCGGTTCCAGGCAAGTTGCAAATGGTCCATTAAAGCCCAAACTTCAGCATGCAAGTATCGAGTAACGCCCGATATATGGATTGCAGCCCATCACCCACTCGCCATTAGAGTCCCGAAGAACGCCACCACCCGTCGCTTCCATTGTAGGTAGATGAACGGCGCCATCGGAGTTCAGCTTGATCACTCTGGTGCTAGGAGGTCTCCAGTTCTTCTCCTCGAAGCTCGCGCCACCTCGGGTCTCGGATTCCTAGGACGAGCCCGAATTGCACCCATGATATGGCTGAATGTATGATTTCTGTCGTGGACCAATCTTCACCCTTAAAGACAAAGTTGCAACCTCTGCTTCCAAATCCTCCAAGAAAGGATCTCGAAAATATGATTACCGAATTTTTCTCTCTTTATTTCATTGTTAATTTGGTTATTTTTCTCTAAGATAAATTAGACGTTTAGTACCTAAACTAATAGTTTTGATCAATTTTAATACATAAACTTTCAGTTTTTTCAAAACCATACCTAAATTTTAGTTTTTATTTCATTTTAATATCCCTGTTCAAAATTGAACATCAAGTTTTGAAAATGATAGTTTAGGTATTAAAACAAACCAAAAAATGATAGTTTATGTACTAAATGTGTTAAGTTTTTGACGGTGGGGTACTAAAATGAAACAAAAACTAAATGTTATACACAATTTTGAAAAAAATTTAAAAGTGTAAATATTAAAACGTATCAAAACCGATAATTTAACTATTAAATATGTAGTTTACCATTTTCTTTATTATGGTTTATCATATAGAATGCATGCATGCAAAGACCCCACCATTTTGTTATGTACCCACCTATCCCCTATTCCTAGGGGTGTTCTAACGGGTAATTTGGTTAACAAATTGAACCAAATTACCTAAATTCCATTAACCAAAATTTTTCTTCATTAACCGTTAACCGGACCGAATTTAAAAAAAACTTAATCGAACCGAACTAAGTTTGGTTAATTGATCAGTTAATCGGATTAACCGAAATTTATAAATAATATATATTAAATATTTAATTTTTTTGGTTAATTTGGTTAATTTGGTCGGTTAATTAGGTAAAAATCGAGTTCAAACACCCCTAAATCTAAATACTATTATTATATAATATTAAATATTTAATAATTTTGATTAATTCAATTAATTAATCGATGTCGAACCGAATTAACCGAAATCGAAATTTGAAAAAAACCATTAACCATTAATCGACCGACCATTAACCATTAATCGACCGATTAACTGACCGAAATTTCCGTTCGATCGGTTAATTCGGTTTTAAGCCCCTACCTATTCCCCTATTTTCTTCCCTTCATTCATTGATTCACCACTCTCATCTTAATGGCTTGCCCTCTTCAATTTCATGGGCCGCAATTTCATGCGCCGCTCTTATGTGCTATTCACAGTATCTCGTCTCGGACCCATTTCCGGATTTCCCTTTCAATTATTTGAAACAAAAGGATAAATTATATATTTAATTACTCACTTTTTTTGTGTTCCTTTTTAGTCACTTAATTATATAATTTTCAAAATTATACTAAAACAAAAGTACTAGAATAACGAGTGACCAAAAAGATAATTTAACCAACAAACAATTAGATTGGCAATGCCAAATTTAGTAGTTTTTTTTCCGTAGGAGACTACTTATAAAATTTTAAGAATAGATAAATTTATAAAATTTTAGAAGATAAAAAAATTATAAATAAAATTAAAAAATAAAAAAATATGATAATTTAAACTTTTTAGGGACATTTACTCTCATCCACTCCCCTCGATCTGTTCACGATTATCAATATTTTAACCATGCACAATGAATTTATTTTATACTGATATTATTTGATATAGCTATAATCACATTTAATATAATTATATTTTTATTGATTATTTGAATATATTTGACATGCATTAGTTAATTTAGAAAGTGTAGAAAATGGATTAAAGTTAAGAATGGAAAAATTAAAATTATATTTGTTATTTTTATAAAAGCATTATAATTTAAAATTTTGTTTAGCTAAAAACCTTTAAACATGAAAGAGATGGATCATGAAAAAGGTTTATAAATATTTCGGAAAGAAATAAAAACGTGGGTAATTTAATTTGGACAATGTGAAAAAGTGTGTTTGGTACAGCTCCAATAAGGGAGCAAGCCGAACGTTATCTAGATATGTTGAAAGCAACTCAAGAAAAGCTGAGTGCTTTTTAGTATGATAGATTTTTTAAAAAATTATGGAGCTTAATAGTACAAAAAATGAAGGTTTTTTTTTCTTTATATATTTGTTTTGTTAAATATAATTTTTGAAAATAAAAAAGTACATACTGCTGCAAATAAAATGTTGAATTGTCCATTCTTATATGTGTATATGGAGACCTAATTAGTTCATTGAACATGGAAATTAAATAATAAAATATTATAAATTTATATGCATTATAATTAAATTTAAATAAAAATATATTTTAAACAATTGATTAATAATTCACCTATAGGAGTTAATTCAAGTGGTAAACAATTTGATATCGCTTAAGCAAGGTCTCGAGTTCGAGTTTTTGTGTATGCAGAAAATCCATGCTGGAAGACTCACTCACCAAAGTCAAATGTGCGACACGAATCAATTCGAATTAGTAAAGGCAAAACCTTGGCAGCGGGAGGACAACTAAAAAAAATTCGGACCCAACCGAGTTACCGACAAAATCCCAACTCAATCCGCACATAAGAAGCAATAAGTATGCACTCCCCCCCCCCCTTTTCCAAATATTCACTTTCATGCTTGATATATTTTAAATATGAATTTAGGGGATTCATGCTGCACTTTTAATAATTATTCTCTATTTATAGAAAAGAATCATTGCTTTTTTATCAATGAAGTATTGAATTTATGATTTTAGGAACTTTGAAATATTAGTGCAAGTTTAGCAACATATGTGGTTGAAGATGGATTTTCATGAAATGAGGGCATATACATAAGAAATTTAAACTGATGGAGTAAAAAGGCTAATATTTATTTATTCACAAACTCGATCCAAAACATAGGTTTAATTCCAAGTAGAATCTGAGAGGCCAACAAAATAAAACAAGGTTAATTTTGGGCATACAAATTCAGCGTTCATTCGTAGATTGAATATTATTATATCACTACTTTGGGCGACTTGCTGTGTCCATTGGTCCAGATTGCCTTGCCAGATGAAAATAAGCTTCAAGCTTATTTCTCAGTGTTGTGTATTCTTTCTTCAGTTGCTGGAAAGCCCTCACGCATCTGCTTCCGGTTCAATTTAAACTATGTTATTCGGTCTTCTTCTAACTGTATATAACATTTATAACCAAAATATATTTGGATATGGGTATTGAGAACATACAAAAAGGCATTGTCTAGTTTAGGGAATGTTTGGATGCAATGAATGTGGAGATAAGAAAGGAAGGAGAAGATGGATTTACCCTTGAGCATTTCCAGACCTGCAATATTCCCTAAACAACGTGCTCTCAGCTTTCACCTTTTTGGCACCAATGCTGCAATCCCATCACACATAGGTAATTGTTTTAATGCCATCATAGAATATACTTGATGTTAATTTATGCCCATAAGTCTTATACCATATCATGCAACTCCTTTTTTTTATAGGCTTTTTTTTTTTATAAAAGAATCAGAATTAAAAGGATTTACCTTGAACTGCTTCCTTTGAACTGATGCATATAATCATCCAACTTGTTGAAATCAAAAGGTTTACCCTCCCTGAAGAAGAGCACCCATTACATTATCACTGTTAATCTTATTATAAAAAAGTTGGAAGAGAAATGAAGAACGTACAGTGAGTGGTGGATGTTTTGGATTAATCTGGCAGAATCGCGGAAGTATGAGGTGACGACTTCTTCGGCGAAATTAGGGTTGGCATCATCTTGGAGTTCCTCCAACTCTATGAATTGCTCATCCAGGTGTCCCTATATATGTCACGCGGAAGATTAAAGTAGGGGTTTTCTTTTCCATTTTCAAAACGCCAAGGAAAACTAACCTCATCAAACAAGGACTGCCTCATGATTGCAAGCTGACTCCGCACTGGATTTCTCTCCATTGGGCTAAAGACTTGAGCAACAGAATTATTAAAAGCAAGAGGGAAACAACTTGAGTGAATATTGCATTGGAACAAGGATGGTTTATATAGTAGAGAAATATTCCCTTTTTTTAAAACAAATGTATACTTACGATCAGTTGGGAATATGGATTTTTTAGTATCTTAATTTCCAGTGTTGGTTCTGTTTAAACAAAAAAAAATATCAAATTTGTTTATTGCTTTTCCCATCTAGACACATTGGCATCTTCATGTGCATAAGATGTTAGATATTTCCCCCTTTTTCAAGTTTTGTAAACACATGTACCGTTTTTTATGCATGCTCCTCGAGAAACAACTACACTTTCCAATAACAACGCATTTCTCATAAAATGGAATAAATTAATCTTTTTACTTTTATATTTTTTTATTACTCGATTTCAGCTTTTCTCATAAATCATATAATATTATTAGTGAGACTCAAACTCTACTACTTATAACTAGTAGTCAATTAACTGAACCAATTACAACCTATACTATAGTAAGACTTGCATGGAGCTAGGAAAGTTGAGTCCTGTTGCTCAAATCAAATGGGTTCGCTATTTAGTTTATAATAGAAATATACTCCAAGTAAATAGCAAGAATGTTATACTTGGGAGATAGGGTATATATTTGATTTGTTTTGTTGATTGTAAGGTTTTCTTTGCGGCAGACTCTACTTATTCCTTTGGATAAATAAGTCTTGTTTATTCGAGTTGTACAAATCCATTCTTTATATCATGATAAATTGTTTTGAAATTCATATAATAATTATACCTATTTAATTAGGAGTATAACATTACCAACAACCATTTGGTCTAATGAAATGAGGTATTAGATTCTTTAAATAAGGTCACGAGTGTGAATTTCGACATTTGCAAATATACCAAACTAGGTTAAAAGGATCGTCCTTAATTCTACAATGTTTAATTCATATTAATCAATTAATAAATAGGATACAAGTTATTATAAAAAAATTTAATTATAACATTAAAACTAAATATTGTATTACATGATTTTTATGTCAAATGATTTTATTCTTGTGGTGTCTATTATAAAATAATTTTACTATAGATTAAAGAAAAATATAAACAAACAAAAATTAACAACTGAGTATTAAAATCTTAGGTTTTTTTATAATATTATTAAAATATAATATTTTCTAAAAGAAAAAGTGAATAAAAAGATAAAATGCTTTGATTTTACTCATATTGTTCATCGTTTTCAGCTAAATGTTTTTCACCGTTGTTATCAACAAAAGTAACAAGGTAGAAGCTAAGTTGATTTGAGGTGACCTTGACTAGGTAATGTTTATAATTCTTTTTAGATTTTTCTTAAAAGAAAAAAGTATCGTGAGAAGTATATGGAAGAAGCTAAACATAAGTGCACAAAAACAGAAAAAAATATTCTTCACCTGAGTTATAAAGAGAAGTATTGTTTTGTAAATAAGGTGAAGAACTGGGTATGAGACACGATAAATTAAGTCCCAAAGGCCATAGCATATGCCATATCCACTTCTCTTTATGTTTGGTTCGGCCGCCGAAAATAGAGTTTAGTGGGCAGACAAGAATTTATACTCAGTGAACCGAAATTAGGTCAAGCCGTTCATCTCATAAACGGAATTACTCAAATTATTATTTCCAATGACTTTTTGTATCCATCACAACAATCAACTCCAATACTTTTACGTCACCATTCCAATTGATCTTTAATTAAGATTTAACTGCATTTTTTTTTATAAATTTGTGATGAATATAATGTGATATCTATTTAAATACTCTTAACTTTTTGACAATAAACGTTTATATCCTTGAATACGGGGTGTTTGAACTCTAGACATCTATAGATAATAACAAATCTCTCAATCACTGATGTCGTTCGACTTGTGAAACATGATAAAATAATACTAAAAAAGGAAAAAATGCATCATCTCAAAAAGAACATTATTAATAAACTATTTTATTTTATTAGGTTTATGTATGAAAAAAACAAAAAGATATATATTGATTAAAAATTACACAATCTATGTATCAGATAATTTTATATTTAAATGTATTGTATATAAAAATCAGTATAATTAAACAAATTCATCACATTCGAGGGATTCTCTCTCCATATATAATTATAAATTAAAAGTGACATATATACCCCACAACCAAAATGCGATCAATTGCATATTTCCTTTTGCTGTATAGGATCACTTTTTCTGAAACATGATCATATCACACATCAAGGATTTCTTACCGAAATATCATCCGTAACCTAATAATTACCGGTCAGACATCATCTCTTCTAATATTATTGATCTAGCATCTTTTCTGACAAAGCGTGGATCGCCATTCGCGTCTTCGCATGGTTCTGACCGAGTTGGAGCCACGTAAAGAAAGGCGCGGATGGCTATCCGCACCTTATCTGGTTCTGTCCGAGTTGGCGCCACGTAAGGAAAGACATGGATTACCAACCGCAAATTCTTGGATTTCTGACACGTACGTAAGGCTCGAATCGCCATCCGCACCTTCCATTATGCACTTTGAATTATTAGTACTTCATTATTACCCGAACAACTTGGCTTTTAAACCCTTCCCCTCCCCTATAAATAATAACCCCCTCTGAATGCAAACATCACCAAACCAAAATTACTTGTTTGTTTTTGCTTTTATCAATTTCTTCTATTTTGTTGTAAGGTAAAACTATTTTTTATTATATTATATTTATTTTATATATTATTATTTGAATAAATTTTATTGTACTAATTATTTTGTATTATTTGTTGCGTTTGGACAATTGGAAAGTGGGATCATACCTCGAGACATTTTTGCCGATACGGTAACAATATGAAATTATGTTATTTAAATTATAATGATTTTTTTTAATTTTTTCCGATTAGTTTATATTTTAATTCATATACTATTTATTTAATTAGGCATATTTCAGTTATCGTTTTTGCATATATAATACTCAATCTTTCAAACTCTCAAAATGACGCGTAATTCAGCTATTTTTTTTACTATGATGGAGAATTCAGGAAGATGAAACTGATGTCGTCTTCGCATCAAATCATTCTGTCAGAATATCTTTCAAGAGAAACATCACTCTTGAGGAGCTGATAACGAAAATTTCAAGGAAGGTTCATGTTGGAAGTATTAGAAGATTGTCCTCACTTTAGTACATATTTCCAGCTACATTATTTCCGTTAACTTATACATTGTTCGAACTCTCCAATGAAGACAGTGTTGCTATGATGGTTGATTCTCAAAATCAATATTCAGACACCGATACACATATATATGCGATATTTCTTGAAGTGCGTGTTATTCATAGTATGTCATTATGCTCCCATTATGGGTTGACTCAACAAGCTGATCAAGTTGATAGCCAAACTCAAGTAATGTGTAATGATTTTAACTCGTTAATGGGAAATTCACATCATGGTGCGATCCCGTCAAGTTCAATGGAGAGATATTCATCAGCAACTTGTTACGATATGTCAATTTCAAGGGGAAGACATTCATCTGCCAATTTCTTTCACTTGAATATGGGCATGCCCTCGACGCAACAATCTGTGCAGTACACATTTGACACGATGCTTTCAAGTTCTAAAGGGAGTCATTCAACTGCGAGCTTTTTCGATCTCAATGTTGAGATGTCTTCAAGTTCAAGGGGAATGCATTCAACTACTAGCTTGTTCGACCTAAATGTCGACATCGTGGAGGTACCCTTATCTCTACCAAAAGAACCTCTTTGTGAGTCAGGTGTGGATGGTGTTGAGACTGTATTATTCGTTCAGCAAGAATCACCACAGTTCAACATAGATTCTGATGATGATGTATATGAAATTCCCACAAATACGGTATACATCGAACCTCCAGCACACATGTATGAAGTTGACTATGGTGCAATGTACGAGTTAGAATTTATATATATGCCTATTGTCGATGACTACGGATTTAACGCATCAGTCAATGATGGTGACTTATATAAAGGAATGGAGTTTCCATGCAAAGAAGAAGTAATGATGGCAATTAAGAATTACAACATTCATAATTATGTTGAGTCCAAAGTCGACAGTTCCACCACTGAAAAGTATGTATGCTACCGTGTCCAACGTGATAACGGATGCAATTGGATGGTTCGCGTATTGAAGAGGAAGAGGAAAAACAATATATGGGAACTAACGATATACAATGGTCCTCACATATGCTGTGCTGGAGAGATCAACCAGGATCATCCCAACTTTGACTCCGACATTATCTGACAAGCCATTATGCCCATGGTTAAAGCAAGCTCTCATATAGCTATTGCGGCGCTAATTTCAACTATATAGTCGTAATATGAGTATACCGTCTCATACAAAAAAGCATGGAAGGTAAAACAGAATGTCATTAAAAAACTTCACGGTGAATGGGATGCATCTTATAACGAACTACCAAGTTGGTTTAGGCTAGTGTGTAGATTGAATCCTTGGACAATTATCAACTTCAAAACTTGCCATGAATACCACAATGATCGAGGGCTTCGCGATCGGTGACAATTCTACCTACTTTTTTAGACTTACCCATAGTGCATTAATGCTTTAAATACTGCAAGCCTGTGGTCCAAATTGATGAGACATTCTTGTATAGAAAATACAAGCAAGTTATACTATTGAAAGTTGTCCAAGATGATAATCGCAACATTCTTCCAGTTGCTTTTGCCCTTGTTGAAGGAGAAAATACAAATTCTTGGGCTTTTCTCCTCAGAAACTTACACTTACATGTTTTCATGAGGGGAAAATCTGTGTCATTTCATATCGCAGAGTTAGGATCAAAGCAGTAATGGATTCTTTGGGTCCAATGTGCAACCACCCTATTTCCAACATCGGTATTGTATCTGACACATTGTTGTTAACTATCATGGAAAGTTTAAGAAGAATGATGATCGCCAATTACTCGTCCACATGGGTATGTCAAAATGATGCTTTTTATTTCTCAATCATTTTTATTTTTTAATGGAAACTTAACAATAAGTTCTACATTTGATGCTCAGGTTACGAACTATTACTTGAAACATTTGAGTA